AATAAGGAATATTTTAGGGGTAAGAAGTCATCTTGGATCACAGCCTGCTTTGGAAATACAGCTTGACTCTGTGAGTGCAAAAGCATCTTCCCCCCCCCTCCCCGAGGGTAGTCACAAAGGGCCTTTATCAGTTTCCACATGGTCATTTACCCTCTACCTCCTTTTAGGATGGCGGTGGTGGGGTGGGGCAGTGTGTCCAAACTGCCTCATTTCAGAGGGCCTTTGATTCTGCGGAAATTCAGCTGCCATCTGACTGTCTTTCTGTCTAGTCTCTGTGCTCAGAGGCTCACTTCAATGTACAATTAATTCACGAATTGTTCATACACCACTGAGTTCAAACAGCATTTCCTCACAGGTAGGTTTCTACAGAATTCAAACCTAATTGTATTATTGTCATGTTTGAATACATAGTTGTTTTGCTTCTTATTGCCTTGGGTGTTTCGCATAGGAAGTATGGATTTTTTTAAAAAACCAAACAAACAAATAGAAAGGAAGAAGTGATTTAAAGCAGAATTTGCTTCAAGGGCAAAATTCTAGCATTAGAAAATGTGCAGCAGTTAAGCACAGCCAAGCTGAAATCCAGTCGCACTGTTGCGGAAGAGACATCAACTTCTGGAGGCAAAATGTGTTGCACACCGAGATGCTGACTTGACCACAGGTAATTTCTACAGAGATGTCATTTTTTGGGGGGGTCAAAACCAGAAGTCACGAGATGGCTTGTCAAAACGCATGGCAAAACTGGCTTGTCCCAGGGCATGAGGGCCTTTTGCATCAAAAGCAGGGACATACTGGGGCACATGGAGGGACTGGTGGCCCTGGTGACCCACGGGCTCTACTTTGCCCACGCCTCCAAGGGAAGCAGAAGACTGTGCCCGAGGGGTTGAATAAAGGAAAGAAGGCACTGTCAAGTAGGTGTCTTGAGGAGCAGGTATAGCAGAACAATGATGGGAGCAGGGAGGGGGCAGGTGAGCCCTTTGCTAGAGCAGGAAAAGTTTAGACAAATGAGACTGAGTGAAATAGGCGCATGAGGCACACACATGCTGAGGCCTAAAGGTAGAGACAAATACTGTGGCAAAGGTGGGAACCTTTAAAGGCGAAGATTAGCAGTTTATTCTGGCTTGGGAAATGGACAGCAAGCCACCAAAGTGTTTGAGTAAAGTTACTTAGCAATAGCACTCACAGCATCATACAGAGTCCTATGTTGAAATCCTATAGTGTAGCTCTGCCTAGGCCCTCAGCAGTGGCAGACTGCTGGTGAGTAAAGGTCTTCTTTTGCCGTTCTGGGGTGCGCATGGCAAATATACAACATGACAAAGAGCTCCAAGCAACACATTCTTCCTCCTCCTCTTCTTTTCTCTTCCCATTTGTTTTACCTTGAACAATCAGCTGTAAAAAAAACCCTGTACTTCTCCCGTCTCGTGATGTGACCAAATATCCTAGCCTTCTGTATCGTGTGTGTTCTATGATTTCTTGGTTATTATTAATTTACTTCTTCCTTGGTCCAAGAAACTCTTACCATCCTGCAATAAATCAATGTTTCAAGTGCTTATATCTTTTTTTTTCACAGCAGCCTGCATTAAAAACTCTGTGCCATACGGCAAAACCAGGAATATGTAACATAGTCCTATACAACAGTTTTAAGTTTTTGTTGGAGATTCATCATCTTAAGGAAGCTGCTATGAAAAGGCAGGTACCATAATTCATTTCAACAGCTAACACGGAACAGAAAGCAGGAGGGAGCACACAAGAATGGGAAGTACTGAATAAAACAAGGAGGAAATGGTAGAAAAAGAGACCGCTCAAGAAATAGTTTGCGGATAAAGACATGACATTCCCGTAGCTCATATGCTGCTTTAAACTGCACAGCAGGGAAGGCCATTATGAAGAAAAGGCAATTTCTAATTCTTCCAAAACTTTGCATGGCGGATGCATGACTGCATTTATTGGGAGGACTGATCACCTGAACTAATATCTTTTGAAATCCTAATTTAATTCCCTCTTCCTAAGTATTCCACGTAACTTACTGGGAAAAAGGGAAAGTTAAAATTGTATCAGATGGCCTGTTGGCATGGAAGCAACGTCATCCAAGCCCACAGCAGTGCCGGAAGGGTAAAAGCTTAAATTCAGTCACACCACAGGGCGAAGGGACAGGCAGCTCAGAAGTGCCTCGTTTAAAGGAGAAAAGAAGTGAAAAAATGAAAATGGAAAGCGAGGGAACAATAGCAGATGTACAGGGAGAGACAGTCAAAGCAATGAAGGTTAATATATATATATTTTCTAAAAAGGACGCGACAATAATTTCTGCCTGATTTGAAATCTACTGTGGACAAAGCCACAGGCACCAATTGTACCTACATGTCAAGCCTTGACATTCCTATTAGCAAAGGTGCCCAAGGGCTGATACAGTTTTTAGCAGGACACTTATTTTACAAGGGGTTGAGCGGTAGGAGAGGGGAGAGAGAACCGCCAAACTTTTGCAGTGGGAGGCTTTAAAAAAGATGCATTCTGAAAAGCAGCAGGAAAGCAAGAGATGAGGAAGAGCAGGAACAAGAACTGAGACAGTAGGGAGAAAATTGGAAAGAATGAAAGAGAACAAAGGGGCTGACAGGCAAAAGCTAGGAGTCAGAGGTGTTCCTCCAGCTTAGAAAACAGAAAGCAATTCTTTCCACCGGGGAAAAAAAGGAGCAAGGGCAAGTGGATAATATTAAATAAAAGAGAAAAGATGAAACAGTAAAACAAAGGAGCAGATAAAAGAAGATCAGAATATTAAATAAAATTAAGACAGATTTTTAAAAATGCATAGAATATACATGGTCAAATGATCAAATACATCAGTTCCTTTGATTATTTTGCCATAGAAAGTATAGTAAGGCAGGGCAACTGAAACTAATGTTTTTTAGATGATTATATTAACAAGGCTGAAAAAAAGAGATCTACTCAAGGGTTTCACCCCCTTGTCTCCACTCTATTACCCCTACATTCAGAATACAGTCGTGCCCCGCTGGATGATTACCCTGCTCTACGATGAATCCACTTTACGTTGACGCTTTTGCAATCGCTTTTGCAATCGCTTTTGAAATCGCAAAATGATGGTTTAAATGGGTTTTTTTGCTGTGCACTGATCGGTTCCTGCTTCGGGAACTGATTTTGGCTTTACGATGATCAATATTACCCCTAGATTCAGAATACAGTCGTGCCCCGCTGGATGATTACCCTGCTCTACGATGAATCCACTTTACGTTGACGCTTTTGCAATCGCTTTTGCAATCGCTTTTGAAATCGCAAAATGATGGTTTAAATGGGTTTTTTTGCTGTGCACTGATCGGTTCCTGCTTCGGGAACTGATTTTGGCTTTACGATGATCAGCAAACAGCTGATTGTCAGGTTTCAAAATGGCCACCGGCTGAAAAAAATGCCCCCCGCTGTTTTCTAGGATGGATTCCTCACTTTACAGGCACCGAAAATGGCCGCCGTATGGAGGATCTTCGCTGGATGAGTAGGTATTCAGCTCATTGGAACGCATTGAACGGTTTTCAATGCGTTTCAATTATTTTTTAAAATTTCGTTTGATGACGTTTTCGCTCTACAGCGATTTTGCTGGAACGACTTAACATCATCAAGCGAGGCACCACTGTACTAGATTCACTTTGCTATGGTAAACATAGTGACTACAGACATAAAAACCATCAACTTCCTACTAGCATTCTCTTCTGCACCACAATTCTGATGGATTTCTCAGGATTTTGAAACATATTTTCAGAGATGAATGAGGAAATCGTAGCACAGTCCAGTGATGGAAGGAGAGACATGAGTGGAAGAACTGCTTTGGATTCTTGTCAAAAGAAGACAGCCATGGCTAACTAGGTCCCACTGATTTCAACTGACCTACTCAATACCTTATTAAGCCTGGATCTAGCTTACTGGCTCTTCCTGCCTAACTGTCTATTCATGGTGCACTTTATAGACGAACCGAGAAGCACTGGATCTGCATCTGTTTGTAGGTTGACGCCTATCCTCATCCCTTTCTCATTTCTACAATATTTCACTAAGAGTCACTTTTATCATGGGAAGGAGATTTTGTGCTACTCAGCCACAATGTGAAAGGTGTTTAGATGCCATCTATATTCTCATGCTTATTGCAATGGTCTGACAGCTTGCTTAGAGAAAATGTATCCCAAACCCATAGTAGTCTATGCAAGGGAGGCCTTGGAGATGACACTATTCTGAATCCTCTCTCTTCTTGTTAGCTTCAAAGCACAGGGGCTTAAATGTCAAATCCTTTCAAATAACCAGCTGTTACAATACAAATACATTTTTAAAAAATGTTTACACTGTGATATTGATGTAAAATCACATACATACAAATTGTGGGTATCTGGAAAGGTGCACAGTTTTAAAGCAGTGATTAGGCTCCTCCCCTTTTTTGGGAGGGGGCGCCTAACCAAAACCTTTCAATTTTTATCGGAGGACAATTGACAGATTTGCCCATCCAGCTTCAGAACTTTGGGTTTTACACTCAAATTGTTATTAAACATGTGGATTTGATCCTTCAATCTTTTTAAACAGGGTCCAAATCTTCAAAAGCCGCAAGCCAGGTGGGTACATGAGCTGAACGGCAACAACAGAAGCAGATGACATAATCATAAGCACACTTGTCATGTACAGCAACTGGTGGCTGAAAAGAAGATGCTCATCACCGCTTGCATAAAAAAGGCACCGTGGCAAACAAGCAAAGTTAGGGCTAACACAAAGTAAGCAGAGATATGAACCAAAATGCAAAGGTCTACCTTGCAAGTTTGGGGTTGAAGCTTTCTGAATAAACTTTCAAGGTGAATAGCTGAACCAGACTGAACAGGCTAGACTTGTTCACCATCCCAAACCGAGAAAACGCATTCATTTTATGCTGTTTCATTCCCTAACATTATTAGAGGTATATCCTTGTCTTTCTTATTAAATTGCATTATAAACTCTTCCATACAATTTTTTTAAAAAAACATTACCTTTGGATCCGCAGTGAGCAATTTGAATGCTTGATACACTTGTGCTTCCTTCACGCCTCCACCAAGATCTAGGAAATTGGCAGGCTTTCCACCATTAAGGGAAATTATATCACAGGTTGCCATAGCAAGCCCAGCGCCATTGACTGTAATTAAGAAAGTCAGATTGTTGAAATTTAAAATGCAGACTCTTACAAATGTAGAGTAAAAAAAAAAAGCACTAATACCAAAATGGGGAGGGAGGGGGGCAGGCAGGCAGGGGAAGAAAGGAAATAAAAGGCAATATAAAGAAGAAAGAGAAAATAGAGATTTTGCTTTAAGAATAAACTGTACACCAGACATCCAGTGATGTTTGCTTCCAAAGTTCTGGAGTTCCAACAGCAAATATAACAACAACATGCTGACAAGTCCATTCTGATTTTTGGAGATTCCCCCTCAGGTTTTTCTAGGAGCAAAAAAAATTCTGATGTAGTTTCCTATTCCCTTCTTCAGGGGGCACCTTAGGACAGGGGAACGTGTCTAAAACTACACAGGGTGGTTGTTCCACCAGGAGGCACAATGGCACACCAGAAAGCACTGGAGCTGCCTGGGCAGGAACCCCTTGCCTGCCTGTCTGACTACTGACAGGCAGGGAGTCTCTCGCAAGACGACGGACAAACTTGGCTCAATACAGTATGAGCTTTTAAAGGAGCCTCGTGGCCTGCGTCGTCCTCTTCCCTGCTTGACGAGTGACAAATCCTCCCACCCAGGATAAGAATGAAAGTAGCTGGTTGCTTCAGGGCCGCGTGGGAATTTTTGACCTGCAACAAATTGGCTCTAAGCTGCAGGCGGTTTTTCGCCCATCCTATTCTTATTCCCAGGGATCACAAGGGAGCTAAATAGGTCACTGGCAGTATGGTTATGATGACGGATAGTGCTAGTTTCAGGTGAGTTCCAGAGTGGGCACCCAGAGGATGCAAGGCATCCTTCCTCTCAGAATTGCATTAACAGAGGTCGGCTGAGGGGAAGGAAAACAGGGAGAACCCAGAGGACACTGGGCACTTAGGATCTAGAGACTTGCGTAGAGGGCAGCCCTGGGTACTCTGGGTGGATGGCCGAGATGGTGCTGGACAGCACGACAGCAACTTCTCAGGGTAGGAACTCCCAGGGGCAAAGGTCTGGACCAGTTGGTCAAGAATGACAAAGGTTCCAGACCTGTTAGCACTACGGCAGGCCCTCTTGTAAAAAGGGGTAGTTAAAAATTTGAATAGTTAATAAAGTTTTGGCCCTAGTTTTAACCCATATTACCGTGTCTCGTCTCGTTATTTCGGGTTGGGCGGGCAATGGGAAATTAAACTCCTGACCCCTGGCTCCACAGTCAGGCATTCCAACTCAATGAGCTATCCAGCCAGCTCTATACTTTCACTGAAACGTAGCTTAGTTCACTGAGTTCAATTCAGAAATAATAGCAATTAGTAATCCTGTATTCATTGGTATTATACAATGCCAACAAGTTCAACCTCTGGGAGAAGCAATGCTTTTCACCTAAAAAGAAAGTAATGTGGATGCTAAGTTAGCCTTCCACTCCTCCAACAGCTAAACCATTACTGGCTTCATTACTGACAAGCAGAAAGCAGAGAAGGGGGCTTTGAATGATGAACTGAGAGTACAGAGAATGTAGGACAGAAGAAGACAGCAAAAGTAGTGTCAGAGTGATAACATTGAACGGAGACTTGGAAGATCTGGGTTCGATCCTCCACTAAGCCATGAAACTCATGGGTGACTTTGGGTCACTCTTTCTCAACCGGACAACCCTAAGGGTTGTTACAATGCGAAGAGTCATGATTTATTTATTTATAAATAAATAAATTATAAATAAATTAATAAATAAATCGAACAAATAAATAAGAGTCAAGTGAACTGGATATAAATGTAGGAGAAAAATTATATGACAAGAATCCAGAAGGACATCACTGATATAAAAACATGCTTAAAAATGATTTTAATAGACTCAGCATTAGTCAAGGGCTCTTATAAAATGTAAAACACTGCAAATATTGTGTTGCATCTGCTGTAATTCTGAGCTATATTTCCTAACTAACTAACCAGTGCCACGTTACGAGCCACACTGGTGATTAGAGATACTCATTACTATGTTCCTGATTGTTATATACAGCCTGAGATTAATTTAGCCACCAATCATTGTCATTGTTTACAGAACAATACTTCCTTGAAGGAGAACTAAATATCAGCAGAGGTCTTAAGGGTCATTGCCAGGTATGAAATGCTGGATTATCAACAACTTGTGTCCAGGAAACAATCTCTTTGTTTTGAGGCTATGTATACAGCAGTTAGTCTAAGGTGCAACAATGTTTTTGTCTTTATTTGTTTCTTTTGTTTTGGCCTCATTGGCCATACTACAGTGGTGCCTCGCACAACGAGTGCACCATAGAACGACGAATCCGCACAACGGGGCCGTTCTAGCGATCGCAAATGCGATCGCACACCGACGGCCCCTCGGCCTCAAAATCGCAGAGCGAAGGTCGGTAATTGGTTCGCTTTGCGACCCGCCAATCAGCTGTTCGGCAGCTTCAAAATGGCCGCTGGAAGCCCCAAAATGGCTGCGCGCAGCGTTTTCGTGCCCTCGTTAAGCGAGGGGAGGGTGCGAAAATGGCTGCCGGCCATCGGAGAAACATCGCTTTACCGTGAGTAAAGCTGCTATTGGAACGCATTAAACTAAGTTTAATGCGTTCCAATGGCTTTTTTTGATCCGTACAGCAATGTTTTCACACAGCGAGGGTTAATCCGGAATGGATTAACCTCGCTGTGCGAGGCACCACTGTATGTCCTATTCATAATAACAACAACCAAGTGCCATCAAATCAATTCTAACTTACTGCAACACTGTGACGATTGCCCACGTCACTCATGCCACTCGTGGTCATGAGCTGATTTGCATGAACCTATGAGATGACTGGAGGGGGGGTCAGCAGCTACATGAGGCTTGGCGGGAGAAAGAGGAGTCAGATAAGGGCTGGTTAGTCAGAGAGAGAGGGAACTGATACTGAGAGAGATGGTTAAGAAAATAGGTCGAGAAGGTGGTAATGACATAGCAAGAGAAAAGTATGTACTGAGAAAACTGTTGATGATTTGCTGGTGTATAATGTTTATCTGAGAAACCTCTCTTACTGTTTAATCTGCTTCACTTCAATAAATAAGTTCTGTTTCTGTTTACAAGACAAGTGTTTTGACAAACACCAGTTGTATTGTGGACTAAGGTAATCCACTGGTGGCAGTAAGAGGAAAACACGACGCGACGTGAGCTTTTGTGACAGAAGGACAAGCAGAGGCCATAAGGGCGAATGCCACAAATGCTTTTCAGGGTTGTCAAAAATACTCAGAAATGGTTTACCCTTCCTTTCTTCTGGGGTGCCCTGGGACTATGCAGCTTGCCCAGGGCCACACAGGCTGGCTCTAGGTGCAGGAGGCACAGTGGGGCGTCGAACTTCCAACCTTTGGTTCCACAACCGGATCCTTAAACTACTGAGCTATTCAGCCAACATTCTATTCATGATATAGTTTTAACTGCTCTAGACCCACTAAACATAGCTTGAATTATTCTTATTTTAAGGACGTTTTCACATTTCTATGTTTCAAACTTACATATAACATCCAGGGGAAATAAGGACAAAAAGACTACCATTCAACCAAGAGCCAACCCTATGTTGTGTCTCCTTCATTTACCACTGGTGCCTTAATTCCCTTGGCAGTTTTATGGTCCATGTCTAATTTCATTAACCTTGGCATAAACCTAACACTCTGTAGTAAAATATTTTAAAAAATCGTCTTCCTTTTAACTAAATTCCCAATGGTCGCTGTTCTGACAATGCTGCTTTGATTTTTTAATGAAAAATTTGCTGGCACCTCTGCTACATTAAATACTGCCTGTGTTGCGAATACTTTCACTCATCTGGGTGAGATAGAAGAAAACGGCTTGGCACATTAAAATGATGGCTTTTCTACAAAGCAGCCTTTTAAAAAAAGAGAAAGGCAATTCCGTATGGGCTCTGCTTAAAATGAAGAGAAACCCAGTATTCAGATGGGAAGTCTCTGACATATAATTTCATGGTACTACTGGTTGACTAAGCTACAAATCTTTTTAAATGTTAATTCCATTACGATTAAGACCTCAGTACCAAAGTGCCAAATTGGTTCTATCACAACCTCTGTATCTTGCAATTAAGTGAGGCAACCATAAATCTATGGACTATAAACTGAGCAGCAACAAAGTAATGTTGTTTTCTTACATGGGCTTTTATTTCCTGAATGGTATTTTTCTTCAACCCTCTTGCGCTAGGATATTTTACAGCCCCAGAATCATGTCCAATTGCAGAGTCCACACAAAGCTAGAAAATGGACTCTATGGCATTAGCCCTATTCAGGTATTCAAAAAAGGGTTAGCTCGAAAGTGTATTTCAGAAATTCTCTGGACTGTAAAAAACCCAAAACAGAATGAAATTTAAATTTTACCTAGGAAAAAGAAACCAAACACACAGTTGCAAGATGGAGGATACCTCACTTAGCAATACTAAGTGAGAAGGATCTTGGAATTATTTTAGATCACAAGCTGAATATGAGCCAACAGTGTGATGTGGCTACAAAAAAGACAAATGCCATTTTAGGCTTCATTAACAGAATTAGAGTCTCCAAATCCCATGAGGTATTTGTTCCCCTCTATTCAGCACTGGTTAGGTCTCATCTTGAGTACTGTGTCCAGTTCAAGAAGGATGGCAACAAAGTGGAACAAGTTCAGAAGAGAGCAACAAGGATGATCAGAAGGGAAAGACTGAAAGAACTGGGCGTGTTTAACCTTGAAAAAAGAAGATAGAGAAGAGATATGATAGCAAACATCTGAAAGGCTGTCATATAGAGAAGGGGCAGGATCTGTTCTCTATCATCCCAGGATCTGTTCTCTATCATCCCAGAGTGCAGGACATGTAACAATGAGCTCAAGTTACACGAAGCCAGATTTTGATTGAATATCAAAAAAACTTCCTAACTGTTAGAGGAGTATGCTAATGGAACCAATTACCTTAAAAGGTGGTGAGTGCTCCAACACTGGAGGTATTCAAGAGAAATTTAGATAGCCACCTGTCAGATACCCTTTGATTTGCATTCCTGCATTGAGCAGGGGGTTGGATTCGATGGTCTCATAGGCCCTTTCCAACTTCATTTTTCTAAGATTCCATGATTCTATGACCCTTTCAGAAAGGAAACTGTAGAATACGTAGCATACCCATGTAATATAACTGGGCATCTCTGATGATAGCACAGTGCTTCTAACATCATGCAACAAGAATGGAAAACACGTAAAACAGTTAGCCATTTCTATCAAATGATTAGCCATTTATTTCTGGAGGCAAGGATTCAAATTGTAAAGGGAGGCATGATCCCCTGTGTGTCCCACTATAATTGCTGATGGTTCCCCTGAAGGTACCCAGATACCCAGTACTTATCACAATTTGCATTTTGAAACTGTTTCAGCTTCTGGAGAGATTTGAAACAAGACATAGGGAACTGCTTTTGAGAAACACAAGTCCAAAGTACTTTGGATGTGTGCTATTAGAAACCTGGGAATAAAACCCAAGTCATCCAGGGCTCAAAAAGCATTGTATGAGATGTTTGGTCACACAATATGAAGCTCCCTTCCCCACACCATAGCTAGTTGAGCCCATCCAATCTGTTTTGGAGGGTCCCCAGATTTGACAGTGAATTGGGGAGATGATAGGAGCTGAAGAAAGGAAAGGGAGGTTGATATGCTAATAATGTTCTGCTGTTGAAAGGACACCATTGAATATAATCAGGGATCTTTGGATCCAGGCCAGAGGTCTCTCATATTAAGCTATTTTTGCTTACCAAAACACGCGATGTTTCCATCCATCCCTATGTATTTTAAGTCATAGCGGGCAGCTTCATTTTCTATTGGTTCATTCTCAGACTTGTCATCCATGGCAAATATCTCTTTCTGCCTGAACTCAGCATTGTCATCAAAGTTGATCTTGGCATCAAAGCATACAACTAAATGAAAGGAAAATACATTAGGGCAATTAAGTAGTTAGTCCCAAATCAGAAAGACAAAAATTCCAAGCACCAAAACTTTCTGTACTAAGTATAATAATAATAATTTATTACCGTCAGTGACCAGGAAGAGAAGAATACAGTGGTGCCTCACTTAGCGATGTTAATCCGTTCCGGAAAAAACATCGCTAAGCGATTTAATCGCTAAGCGATATTAAAAAGCCCATAGGTATGTATTAAAATGCATTTAATACATTCCTATGGGCTAAAAACGTACCTTAAAGTGAAATTCCTCCATAGAGGCGGCCATTTTGGGTGCCTCTAAAGCGAGAAAAAACAGCAGTGACCATTTTGTTTTTGCGGCAGCCATTTTGGAACTGCTGATCAGCTGTTTAAAAAAGTTTGCTTTGCCATGATCGCTTCCCTGCAATCATCGCAAAGCGAATTTTAGCCATAGGGGACATCACTAAGCGATTGCTCCAGCGATGGCCAAAAGTCCATCGCAAAGCAATTTCATCGCTCAACGGAGCGATCGCTAAGCGAGGCACCACGGTACATTATCTAGATAAAATCACATAATATCAGAGACATTAGTACAGTGGTGCCTTGCATTACGTTAATTCGTTCCAGCGAGATCACTGTAGAATGAAAACGTCGTAATGTAAAAAGAAAAAAATCCATTGAAACACATTAAAACCCGTTTAATGCATTCCAAAGGGCAAAGCGATTGCAAAAAGTTCATCGTAATGTGGTTTCGTCGTTAAACAGGGTAATTGTAAAGCAAGGCACCACTGTACTGAGTGTATATTTCTGAACCGTGTGCAATCAATGCATGATTTCTTCTATCAAGTTATCTAAAAGCAGGCTTAAGGGACACATGGCAGAAGATGTCACCACTCCAATTGCCATTGGCCAACCAACTTTCAGAATCTTAAACTAGAATCTTAAACTGGAACCCTGTTGATTGGTGTAATGATAAAGTAAGTCACAACTAGAGTAGGGCCATTTGAACCAATGACACTGACATAGGGATTCACTCACCAAATCCCCCACTGGTTCAATGGGCCTACTCTAGTGTGATTTACTATGCTAAGCCACGGTATTTCAGCCACTGTGTAAATGAACACAGGAAATGGAATCTCAACAGAAAAGTCTTCATTGTCAACATATTGATCCAACAAAGTTTGACAGCATCTATTCATTTATAAATATTAAATAGTTGTAGTTCTGGTTTACATGATGTGAATCTATATTAAATTTAGCACTAAGTGACAATTTCAATACATCTGGCACATGTGTTTTAAAATATCCTTATTTTAAAACAGTCAATATCAGATGGAAGCATGAACGGTATGAAGACATTGTTTTATTTGATAAATTGCCATAGGTATGGAATCTAAACCTCTTAAAAAGTTATGTTACATTGACCCATGCTTATATTGATCTCTAGGGCTCTTGATGCAAGGATCTGAAAGGGCAGACCACATCACCTTACTTCCTGTACCATTATTACAATATCTCAGAAAAGCAGGTGAGTGCCTATTAGTTGCTCCTCTGCACCACCAGTACTGGAGGTTCTGTGGCAAACTTAGTCATGAAGTGTTATGTGGTACTATATAAATCCTCAGGCTATGGCCTGATTTATTGCTGCACAGGAGTGTAGAAAACTATATTATGTGGTACAGCAGATCAATACTGTACAAGACAATTCCAAAAAAGGGGGGGACCCCAACAAAAAAATTGTAACAATTAAAAGTTAGCACAGATGTAGCAGACAATCTGATCTTATTGTTGTTTAGTCGTTCAGTTGTGTCTGACTCTTCGTGACCCCATGGACCAGAGCACGCTAGGCCCTCCTGTCTTCCACTGCCTCCCGGAGTTGGGTCAAATTCATGTTGGCTGCTTCGATGACACTGTCCAACCATCTCGTCTTCTGTCGTCCCCTTATCCTCTTGCCTTCACACTTTCTTAACATCAGGGTCTTTTCCAGGGAGTCTCCTATTCTCATGAAATGGCCAAAGTATTGGAGCCTCAGCTTCAGGATCTGTCCTTCCAGTAAACACTCAGGGTTGATTTCCTTCAGAATGGATAGGTTTGTTCTGCTTGCAGTCCAGGGGATTCTCAAGAGCCTCCTCCAGCACCACAGTTCAAAAGCATCAATTCTTCAGCGGTCAGCTTTCTTTATGGTCCATCTGTCACTTCCGTACATCACTACAGATAAAACCATAGCTTTGATTATTCAGACTTTTCTGGGCAAGGTGATATCTCTGCTTTTAAGATGCTATCCAGGTTTCTCATCGCTTTCCTCCCAAGAAGCAGGTGTCTTTTAATTTCGTGGCTGCTGTCTCCATCTGCAGTGATCATGGAGCCCAAGAAAGTAAAATCTGTCACTACCTCCATATCTTCCTCTTCTATTTCCCAGGAGGTGATGGGACTAGTGGCCATGATCTTAGTTTTTTTGATGTTGAGCTTCAGACCGTTTTTTGCACTCTCCTCTTTCACCCTCATTACAAGGTTCCTTAATTCCTCCTCACTTTCTGCCATCAGAGTGGTATCATCTGCATATCGGAGGTTGTTGATATTTCTTCTGGCAATCTTAATTTCGGTTTGGGATTACTCCAGTCCGGCCTTTCACATGATGTATTTTGCATATAAGTTAAATAAGCAGGGGGACAATATACAACCTTGTTGTACCCCTTTCCCAATTAATAAACCATATTTCACTGGCATTATCTGTGAGAGATCCTCCAACAGTATCATCCTCCACTACTGCTACTGCCCAATAGCTGCTCTCCCGCCCATCTCCACCCCATCACCATTGCAACTATCATTTTCTTCTGCTAATATGACCATTACTCCTGAAGAGGGTAGATGCATCCTAGTCTGTGTTGTAGTTTTGGCCATTCCACACTGGGTGACCCTACAAGGAGTCCAGACTCATAATGAAGTCTCTGGAACAACTTACCATTAGAGATCTGCCTGGGCCCCTCACTGAGGGCCTTCAAGAGCAAATTAAAGACGTGGCTCTAGAAGCAGGCCTTCCCAACAGTCATCACTTAGTTTTTTTGTTTGTATGTATGTATGTTTTGACTCTTATAGTAAAATTGGGCCCCATCTTGTATTTATGTTTTGTACAGATACATTTATTATATCTGTATTTTTGTCTTTTGTGTAAAACACCCAGAGCAGACATGTTCTAGATGGGCAGTATATAAGTCAAATAATAAGTCAGTCAGTCAGTCAGTCAGTCTAGCCTTCTGACAGTGTTGCTCTCAGATCCCCTCACTGCATTAAGGTATGCATCCAAGAACTACTCAATCAACTACTAGAGAAGAACAAAAGACAAATATGAATAGCACTGTTGTGAATGACACATACAATTGGAACATGGAATGTGAGAAGTAAACTGTAATGCAAGAAACGGGATGTTTAAACAGTACAGTAATTGATGTCAGCAAACTAAAGTGGAGTGGAGTGAATTGGAACATTTTCAGTCAGACAACTACGAAGTGACTAACTCGAGAAACGACAGACTCGGAAGAAACGGAGTGGTTCTAATCCTAAGGCAAGATGTAGCACGGGCAGTTATAGTCTATAATATAAGGTCTGAATGAATAATATCAATCAAGCTTATAGGAAAACCTGTCAACATAACCATCAGTCAAGTCTATGTTCCAACTACAACTGCTGAAGAAGAAATTGAAAGCTTTACGCAAGCGTCTGGGAAGAAATGGATCACACACTGAAACAAAACATTCTTACAATCATAGCTGAATGGAATGCAAAAGCAGGACCAAATGCTGTTGGAGAATTTGGCATGGGAGTCAGAAAAGAAACAAAAGAAGAACTCATAAGATTCTGTGAAGCCAACAATCTATCACAGATACATGCTGGAAGCAACTGAACAGATAACGATATAAATGGACGTCACCAGGTGACCAATAGAGAAATCAAATACAGTAGATTGCATAATTGTAATTAGGAGATGGAAAAGCTGTATTCTGTCCATCAAAACAGGATCAGGAGCAGACTGGATTACCACAAACTTTTAAGATAAAAAATGTGAATAAAATTGAGAAAGAACACTAAAAGAATTATGGTGCACAGTATAACTGAAATAATATTTTAATGAATTTAAAGTCCACTTAAAGAACAGACTTGCATTACTAAACTTAATTCTCTATGAACAAGATGAACTGTGGATTCTATTGCAGTCATTGATTATTTTATTATATTATTGAATTTTTTTATTTATTTATTTATTTATTTNCAGTATAACTAATATTTTAATGAATTTAAGGTCCACTTAAAGAACAGACTTGCATTACTAAACTTAATTCTCTATGAACAAGATGAACTGTGGATTCTATTGCAGTCATTGATTATTTTATTTTATTATTGAATTTTTTTATTTATTTATTTATTTATTTATTTATTTATTTGATTTATACCCCACCTATCTGGTCTACTCGACCACTCTAGGCGGCTTCCAGTATAGGATAAAACAATAAAACACAAGAACATTACATAATCATTTGATACAGTTACAATAAAATAGAGTGAGAATAAAATAAGAAGGAATAGAAAAGAAATCAGGTATTGACTGGAGGGAAGGCCTGGATGTATAATCATGTTTTTAATTGGGTTTTAAAGATTCCCAGCGTAGGTGCTATGCGAATCTCCGGAGGGAGGTTGTTCCATAGGCGAGGAGCCACTGCCGAGAAGGCTCGGTTTCGTGTCTTCTCCTTCTGGGCCTCTCTCGGCATCAGGCTCCTCAGCCTCACCTCCTGACTTGCGCGGGTGATCCGGGTAGACCTTGGTGGGAGGAGGCGTTCCGCCAAAT